AAAGCAAGACACAGGAGCAGTGAAGTGTTCAGTAGGGTGAAATATTCCTTTTCATTTAAAAACTTTCTTGAACTGTACATAGGTATGTGAATGACTGTGTGGGGCTAGAAATAGGTATCATCCTGCTCCTGGTCTCTAAACTTCTAGATGGGGTCACTGTGGAGGAACAACACAGCTGCTTATGCTGGTTATTTGATGACATATGGTAATAGCTGCAGTGTTTAGAGCTGAATGTGACACACCACAGCAACTTAAACAAAATAAACCTGCTAGCCTTTCCCCCCACCACTGCATTTAAAAAAAGTGTTTTTCTTTTTTGTTGTGAAGAGCCATTATTAGCTGTGGAAAAAAAAAATTACAGTTGAGTGTTTCAAGTACTTGGTTTCTCTATATCTGTGTGAATGTGAATAAAAACTAACCAGATAGGTGTATCTGTTTTAGTAAATAGGGTACTTCATGCACATGAACCAACATATGAGTACACATGTGTTCAATATTAAACCAGCTTTTCAGTAAAAATAATACCCTCAGACCAGTAGCCGAGCCCAGAGTTAGTCTATCAGGCATACAAGAATGGTTTGTGGTGCAATTTGAGGATAACTCTGCTGCACAATCATGAGATTATATCCTCTTTAGAGGGTATAATTATGCTTTCTCTATATATCTTATTTAGAAGGCATAATGCTTCTCCCCTAATAGCAGACCAGCTAGTACATAGAGATGCAGTGTTTTTGCTTCCAGCACACAAAATACTGTAGACATACAGAAAGCTTTTGAATGCAGGATCTTTGGGCTGCAAAACACAAGGCTGGACTCCTGATACATATCTGAAAAAATTCCTAAAAATAAAAAAAGCTACAGTCTCTGTAGCCTTTGGTGACACGAAGCTATGTCTTGCAAGAGTTTCTCCAAATTTTCCTTAATAATGACTTCTGGACAACTTAAATTAAACATGTCAGTCAATGGCATCAGAATTTTTCTTAACCATAATAAAATTGAAGACATCTTTTTAAGCAAAATCTATTTTATATTTAGGACAATTACCTACCAATATAACGGATACAGATTGAGAGGCTATAGAAGAAGGGGTAATATGGCAGTGGTATGTTTTATCCAGAAGGTGATCAATAATTTTGTTTTTTTCTTTCTGGTTTCATTGCACTATTTAATCTTTCCAAGCTTAGATCAAATGATTGCTCATTTGGGATGATAAAGTTTATTGCTACTGTCTGCTATGTGTAATGACTACTAAATAATATGCACCATGATAAGGCAGCAGCTCTTTTTAGTTTGTTTTCCAAGGTGGTAAGGACTCTCACTGCTACATGCTTTTTCACGGAGCTGAGGTTGCTACAAACCTAAAGATAAATCTGCAAATCTATGTGACTATTCTTTATCATTGTCACTAGCTTGGTGGTGGTCTGCCATTTTTCTTGAAAGCTGGGCACCAACTGCTGGCCAGAAGTATTTTTCACTGAATTTTTTGTACTTTAAATAAACTACTGCTTCAAGAACTGCCAAGTGTTCCTCATTCATCTTCAGCACACAGAGCTTCATGTATATCTTCGCAAACCTTGACTCTGTGAAATGTTTGTCTCATCTCTCTGCCATTTATGGCAGTCTTTGAACTCACTTCTGGTTTATTGATGGCCTTGACTAAATTAACGCAGATGTAATATTTTTTAAAAGGTTTACACACTGACTAATTGTATGCAAAATAAATCCTTATTTAGCAAAGCTCCTCCTCTTGCTGTAAAAGGTCTTTCAAGTTTCATAGAGTAAATGTTGCTGAAAGCATAGAAAGGGGGTATTGTTGTTTCCTTTGGCATTTCTCTTCTTATAGTGGTAGAAGAATATGCATCTGCTTTTCCCTGTGGAGGGGGAGATAATATGATAACCTTCTGATTATATACATAAGCGGGAACTGATCAGCTTCTCTCGTGGTTCGTTTTTAAGGGCAAGTTCCAGTTGGATTGTGCTAATGCACATATTCATGAATCTCTCCAAACAGGATTCACTGCTCTCCAGGGAACTGTTGAAGTATGCATCATTGTTTCAATGAAGTATCTTCATTATAAAACACAGGGACTATAAAAGGTGAATACCATTTGCCTCAGCCTAATATAATCTCTAGTTTGACTTTCTCCCACTATAGTGATTTTTTTAACAGAATCAGAGAGAATAATATGAGACAATTTTAAGTGAAATATTATATTAAATTAGATACATGTGCCTTGATGAACAGAATATTTTACTTTCTATTGTTTTATTAAAATAAGGAGAAATTAATAGCAGTGGAATAAAAATGATCATTAGGATCACACAGGCAACTCAAAGCACCTCAGTGGGGATTGTTGGCCTATAGAGTTTCCTACTTTACTACATTATAACAAGTAGGTTTAATAGCCTGCAATGCTTAGTAAAATCAATGTGTTTCAATTTTGGGGAAGAAAGCAGATGCTGGAATCTACTGAAATCAATCACAAAAATAAATGTTCTCATTGCAAAGAATGGGATGACATAAATGTCTCTATAGGCTTTAAATTAGTTGTTGCATTTTTTTTTACTGTATAATTATTCTAAAGTGTCCTAGACTTTTGCTTATTATAAAAAGCACATTAAAAATATCAGTTAGCATTGCATTTAAATATTGGGATGGGAAAAAATGATTATAGTATTGCATGAAGAGGCTGCCTAAGTCAGGAAGCATTACAGTGAAGTAGCACAATCACTTTCCTATAAGCAAATATATATATATTTATCAGTTTATATATATACTACATATTGATATAAAATATCAATAGAGGATTTTTCAGATGTCTTACAGTAGAAGTTTTTTTTTTTTTTGTAGCCTGAAACAGTCTGGGCAATACATAAACAAGGAGATAAGCATGATCCTTGCTCAAAGAGCTTGGGCTATGAGAAGGTTACAGACAGTTATGTTCAGATAGATATAATATAGTATATAGGTTGAAAGTCTAATATTAAAATAATATTGAACAGTTTTATTGTTTAGGTTCATATTCTACAAAAATGAACATGGCATTCAAGGTAAAATACTGGCAAAGATATCTAGGTCTAAATGGCCTTGTGACTTCAAATAGCTTTGTGTTACGTTAGAAAATGCATTGTATTTTAATATATTTTCACATTGTAAAATTCATGCCTGTGTATAGGCGCAAAAACATGGCCTATGGCCCATTTAAATTCCACTCAAGCTGTATTTGGAAAGCTTAAGTGGGGCTTGTATTGTGAATAGGACTTTTCCTGGCACTTTGATCTGTGATGGATTTCTCTTGTTGTAGCAGTGGTGACACAAGTCATGTGTTCTATAATGACACCAGATTTATGAAAACCTGTCATGGTCAAAAGCAGTCCCATGCACATGGAAAAAGTTAAAAATCTGGTGCTACATCATCAGCAATATTTGAAGAATTACACATATTTCACAGTTTGGTTCAACGTCACCAGGTCTCTGACAGCAGATAGCTGACATTTGTAGTATGACTGGGAGTTTCCAGCCATCCCCTCCTCCTCCTCCTCCTCCTCCAAATTCTGCTTAATTGTATATGTTGGCAACCAGACCTTGAACTATGCTTTGCTGTCATCTACTTCCTTTGGAAAGGCAAAACATCAATATGAGTTTCTATACCACTTCCTTCTGTGATTAGTATCTTCAGTGACAAACTGGTGCCTGCAGAATGTATCTGTTCTAGAATTATGTGATAATATCCTAGAAATTCTGCCCAGGAGAGAGAGGGAATCATTTATCAGGGAATGTGGGAATATATTGTATAAATGAATATACCATATTAATATATGTAACTATAGTTAATATATACAACTATAGTTAATAACTAATTTCTAGTTTATATAACATACACTTTAAAATATATAAAATGGATATGAAATATTTTCTATGTATTATTCTTATAGTACATATAGAAAAACATGTAAATAATTATTTTGTATATTGTATTAATACAGTGCAATGTAAAATTATTATATAGAGTAGTGTATATGTTTATATACCTAGTATCAAAAATATTAAATTATAAATTTTTTTTCGAGACCAGTTGTAAGTTTTCTACTATTTCAAGCTGAATATTTAAATTTTAAATTGCTCTCTTTCTCCCAGACAATGTTAAACTGTATTTATTTCTATTTGTGGGTGGATAGGAAAAAAAATCATATATGAAGATGCCTCTCTGGTTTTGCACATCACAAATAGGAATCTGTGAATGTACACACTTAATGTCATACTTGAAGCGCCATGTTAGTATAAAATTCAATAACAAAGTCATACATAGGACGTGCCAATGCTTTCGGAAAGGTGTTCTCAGGACTTTGTTTTCTATCTTTTTATTGAGTTGGGTATTATTCTGTGACTTCTAGGAATTTATATCCATACATGTCCTACTCTGCAGTAGCCCATCCTCAATGTCTGCAATAGGGATATAGGTGACAGTAGTTTATAGACTGTCTCCTAAGCTAATAGAATTTCATGCATGACATAATTAGAATCAAATCAGAATAAGCAAGATATATTTTTATCATGGGCCTAGAAATCTTGTTACTTAATAGTTGATGTATACTAAGTTAACTGTGTATCACTGCTTCACCTACATGACTGAGAGAGGTCTAATTTTTCAGCAGTTTTTGGAAAAAATCCAACCGGCTTGGATCAAGCTATAAGTAGAAAACTATTCCTAGAGACAAAACAGGGAGTTACAAAGGCAGCTGATTCATCTGCCCCAGAAAGTGGCAGGCTATGGAAATGACCTTTGAGGGAGTTTTAAGGAAGGAAGCTAAATGACTAAAGTTACTAAGAAGTAGTTATGGAAATCCAAGGATATATGTTGGTCATTATCACAAATGTCTATGTTAATTGCTCCTGAGCCTGCAAGATAACTGTATAATGTTGATTTTGCATTTTTCCCCCCATGTATTCCTCATGTTCAGTGAAAAAAAAACATACAAACAAATGAAGACTTTCAATATTAAAGGAATGACAGAATATATTTCTCCTATCAGGTGGCACAGCATTTTGTAGTAAACCAGTACATCATTTATGCCATCACTTTACTTTTTTTTTTTTAATGAAATCTCCTGGTTTTAAATGAATATATCAGAGTAGCTTGTGAGATACCTTTTACATAATATAATGGGCACCATAGAAAGATTCATGTTCCTTCAGACATAAATAGGACCCAAACACTGTTGGTATGGTTTTCTGGGTGAAATCCCAGTTCCACTGAAAGTAATCCTCCCTTTGACTTCAGTAAGGTGTGACTTTCATCCCCAGTTTTCATCTTGGGCCTTGGGACATTGCTAATATAAGGCACCAAATAATTACTTCTGGTCAATCAGGGTTTTAATACAGATCTGATGGTTTGAAGGATAAAGTAAATCAGTGTGGATCAAACCTGCTCTGAAGGGATCTTAAAGGTCAAGTTGATAGTTAAGTCATCCTGATTGCTTAACTCTTCTGCTCTGTATAGAGACTTGGTGATTACAGTGCTGGGTGTGGAGAGGTGAGTGGCACTGGACTGGGCCCACCAGATCAATCCACAGAGGTGACTCCCCCATACTCAGATACTAACTTCTCATGCAGAATCTGAATTCTATGGAACAGTCCTCATATGTCAGTCTTAAACTCAGTCTTTCATTTGTTAGAAATTTCATTGGAAAATCACATATCATATGAATTGCACTGATATATTAAATCTATTTACTGCATCAAGTATGAAAACCACCCATTACAATTCATTCCACTCATTACCATGAAATTCTACTACCATTCCACACAGTAAGGCAAAATTCAGATTTTTTTTCAGAAGTTTTGTCTAGGAAATCAAAATATTAAAATTAAATGGAAATATCCTTGTTTCTGTGTTCTAATTTCTTTATATTCAGAAGGGCAAAGGAAGTGGCTCCAATCTATGCCTGCAGCCTCAAGCAAGTGGGGCAGAAAGCCTCCAAAGTTATAGGAGTGCAGAGAGCTGATTGAAAGGGAGTTGTACAGGCACAGGGAAGGAATGTGTAAGATTGTTTGTTCTCTATAAACATGAAAACATTTGGCATACATAATTTTTATCTGTCTCAAAAACAAAAATACATCCTAGACCACAAACAGATATTTTTCTTCTCTTAGGAGAACACATGTGAATAAAGAGAAGATAAGAGGAAATTACATGCAAGACTGAACAACTTTCAGAGAAGCAACATGTTTTTTCATACATTCAAATGCTAAAAGAAACATGGGGCGTATTATTTTGGATTATCCATCTTTACTTAGCAGAAAAGACAGGGACTATCACTAAAAAAAAAAAAAGGAAACAAAAAAGAGGCATTTGGAAAAAAAATCCAAATAAAAGCAATTAAAAAACAGTTTATTCTTTCTTTAGATACGTATTCTTTATGTCTCTTCATGTCTCTAGAAGGCCAAAGTGAGTCAAAGCTATAGGGTTTTTTTATGCCATGCCTCATACAAAAAAGTGACATGTATTGGTTACCCATCAAAATCCTTAGTTTTAGTCTCTTTCATACTACAGGCAAAATGTAATACAATATATACAAAGGCGTATATAAACGTAATATGATATAGACACAAGTAAAGCTATATATTCAATAAAATTATATATGTTCTTGCAAAGAGACAAAAAAGGAAATGTGCTAGTAGAGCAATGTAATCGACAATAATTAAGGAGTAATATGTGCACAGATAAATAAAATTACTCTGAAATTTTTCATAGTATGTGAGGATGAAATAATAATTCATGCCACCTTCTGCTCCAGCAGAAAGCATCAAACAAATTCCTTCCACTTGGAGTTGTGTCTTGTACTTTGACTTTTTCCCATCATCTATTTGTGCTGTCAGGTCAAATAATAAGGTGAGGCTTCTAATAGCTCTCTTTTTTCTCTGGGAGCAGATATTTTTTCTTACCTGATCCTGTTAGAAGGTGCATGTAAAACAAATAAGCCACAGATATCAATAATAAATGCAGTTTGTTGATTGAAAGCTCCATCTGGTTTATTTGGCACCAGCTCCATTTGATGATTATGACACAATCTTCAGTAACATCAAAGTCATGTGTCTTTAAACTCCCTGAAAAACATTATTTATGTATTATATAGAGAACCATATAATGCCTGTTATTTTTTCATATTTTTCATATTTTTATATGAATAAATTTTGTTACAATAACAAATCATACTGCAATAACTACAAAGTCAAAAAAAGTATCGAGTAAGGAGTTAATTGGACTTTGTTTGCAGGTATCAATGGACAGTATTCTGAGGCCTTGCATCATGTTTTCAGAAGCATTATTTAATCTGCAGAAATTGATGATAATTGGTTAAAAAGTCCAAACACCTCTCTTGCAGTGACTTACTAGACTATGGAAGCCCAGCCATGAAGAAAATAACTGGGGTTAAAGTTTCCAAATAACAGTCAAGGTTAATTTCAAGTTTTATTCTCCTTACAGAAAATTTACATGTGAAGAAGAAAGTCTCCTTTTTCTTTTCGTTTTCTGTTTTTCCTATCTGCTGTCTTCATCCTGTAAAAACGAAATTTCATTAAGTAGTAGGTCAGATTCATTTACCTCCAAGTAAAAGAAAAAAGGAGTCTTTGGTTACCTTCTTTCACTGCCATATCCATTTGGGAGGGGACTGGAAGGGAGGGGAAGAAAGGGAAAGCACGTTAACATGCAATCCTTTATCCAGATATGGGTGAGAAGCTCTGCTTATCCTTCCAGTCCTCACATAGCAGAGTGTTCCCTGCAGCCTCAGCTGGAGAAGCTGCTTTCTGCTCTGCATTGCCACAGTTCAAAGAGATGCAGCTCTCAGGTCTGTAAAGCACTCTGAGGATAAAAATGGTCAGGAAAAAAGTTTCCTATACCAATATAGGTCATTATTTCAGTGACTCCTAGAGCCACTTCAAAACACTCTGGACTCCTGTGTATTTCTGCCCCACCGTATCATCATGAATACCTGTAACCAAGAACTAAGCAGTGACATTATTAAGGCAAAAGGAAAAGAAGAATTCTGCACTGTTTACTGCACTTTTGAGAACTGGGCAGGATATGGATTTTGTTATTCAGCCAAATCACAACTATTACTTCAGTGAGCTTGGTAAGTGTTTCAAAACAGGGAGTCCAAGGTAAACTGCATTGCTTGTCTCCACTTGCCCTTGCTCTCTGCCTTTGCTTTCTCCTGGAATCCTTGTGGGAAGGAGGAATTTTGTCTGCATTAGACAGAGGCTGCACAAAATAGGGAGAACTTAGCCCTCACCGCAGGGAGTGTGACACACGCTGCAGAATAAGCACGGCCAGTGCAGAAATTCAGCTTTCGCAGAATCCCTTGTAGTCTGAATCAGAATGTAAAGCTACTTCCCACAGGATAAAGCCGAAAAGAAGAGAAAGAGCTGACAGAAGGATCGTACGCTTACTCAGTGCAGTTCCCACTGCAAGTCCTCGTACACAGACTACTCTCACACTCAGCCTTTGACAGAAGCTTGGCATCTCATCTGAGGGCTTCACAATTAAAAAGACCCTGTGTTGAAATTTGAAAGCTTTGCAGACTTTGTTTCATGTTGTTAACAGGATGGTTATTAACAAGGATGTGGAGCTCTTTGTTACAGATGGAAGGCTGGGAATGGTATGAAATTATCTTTATATGGTTTTATACAATCAGGTTTCCCAGACTGAAAGATTTTAAACTAGATTAATGTCCTGAATATTTTTCTAGATTCCTGTTTTTCTATTCTGAGATAAATTATCAGAAGCAGAAGCTCATTAAATAATGTTGAGAAACCAAATGTACCAGATGTGCTTTAGCCCCACCATGGGCTAGATGTGGGCTTTAGCCTCACCATGCTAGATGTGTTTTAACTTCATCGTGGGCTCCACTTCAGTCTGGTTAGAGGAGTGGATGAAGGTTCAAACCAGCTCTCCTCTCATTCATGCTTGCTGGCCCATCTCTAATCATAATGCAACAAACTACCGTGGAAGCTCCCACAACCAAGCTATCAACATGACCTTGTCATTTCAATTTTTCGCACATATTCTTTGCTTTCTCCCCATGCCTGTGTAACATATCAGACTAAAATCTCATCTTTCTCCAGCCTACTGCCAAGAGCTACTAATCTGAAATACAGCTTACTCTTAGAAATGTCAAGCAGGACGAAAACAGTAACATTCACAGAGGAGAAGCTTGAGTTGGACATCCCTTCTCCCATGAAACTCTCTCACTTGCTCTGTGCTTTGCACTCTGATACAGTCCAGGGCAGCAGGGTTTGTCTTTGCCTTACCTGTGTGACCCACAGAGAATAATAGACCATTACAGGGGTTCTAAACATGACAGAAATAAATGTATGGCAATCAAAAAAAAAAAAAAAAATCCATTTTTTCTGACATGAAAACCAACAGTAATACACAGGTTTATTTTTCTAAAATCCCCTAATCTTCATTTTCTCTTCCTTGTCCCTAATCTGCTCCCATTGTCTGAAAATACAAAAGCCTCAGAGATTTCTCATCTTCTTATCTTCACAATGACAGCAAAGCTCATCGAAGCAGGGACAGACATTTAATGCAAATAACTCAACAAATTATTTCCAATCACTCCATTCTAAGTAATAAAAATATCACTTAGAATATGTGGAGTACATTCAAACAATTAGTGAATTAATGGAACTCATTACTTGCTCACAGGTTTTCTACATGCAGAAAATAAATAAGAAAATTAATTTATCTGAAAAATTATTTTTAATTACTTGCTCAGTTTCAGGTATGTGTATTCCAAGTCAATTGTTAGAGAAACTTATCAGGCTTTGAGCCTGATAAAAAAAATATGCCAGGAAAGTGATTACAAGTATAGTAAATATTTTTCTAAATATTACACTGTGATCCATTTAGAGAACTGAGGGTCTGGTTTATGCCCAGAGGCTCTGGCTTTCTGACCAATCTAATTTCAATTCAGGGTAGGGTTTTAAAATTGATAATTCTGTATACAGAGCATGTTTTATACACAGAATAAACTTTAACAATAACTTTCTACATTGCAGAAAGGGACTTCTGATTTACTTCTGTCCATTTTTTTGAAAAGCTAGAAATCTTCTCCTGTGGGTGTAAGAAAATAAAGCTTGCCAAAGTGTTAGATCAGACATGAGTTTTCATCTCTGTCCATTTTCTCTCACATGAAAGACTTCTGGAGCTAGCAAAGCATGCTTTTGTTGACCAGCCAAGATCAAAAAGGCAGCTTATTTTTGTCCTTCAGCCACTAGACTGATACTCTCAGTTCTGTTAACATTCTGCCCCCATTTGAACTGGACACTTTGGAAGTATCAATAATGCAAGTTGCAGGGCTGCACTAACACTCATCCTGTATATGCCTCTCCTTCTAGAAAATTAAATCAAGTTGAAATCAAAGAAGACACAATCTCAGTCATATAGGCAGAAAATCTCCCGTAGCTTTGCAGCAATTCTCAGTGAAATATTTGAAATTATTTATGTTGGCAGCAGTGACTGATCCACATTGAGAGTGCAGAGTTAACAAAATGCTTCCACCCCGTGGAGACATAAACAAAGTGTTGGAAGCCACTCATCATGTCATACACCTTCTCCCTGCTTCCTTGACAGGCACATCTCCTGAAACAGAATGTTGTTTTACAGGAACATCAGAAAGTGCAAAAGTAACTAATAAAACAGTGACAATCCCACTGTGACCACAAGGACTAGGACGAGTAAGCAGTGCACCCCTATTACTTAGGAGTGAAGAGAATATATGCAGCTATCAGAGCCCTTTCTTAACATTGCAGATTGGGTCAAGAATATATTCTGCAGGAGAGCTCAGACTGTTTATCTGTTTCAGACTATTTCCATGATGAGTGTTCTTACAGGATTCAGGTGACCCAGTGGATCAAGAACAGAGATGCCAGCTGTGACCGGCTGTGTCAAAAATTGTTGTCGCCTACTACAGCTGGCTGCTCTATACTCAGAGTTCAACTACAGCACTCCGAGTAGCTTTGTAATTGGCAGAACTATCCTCAATGCATCTGTTGTTGAGTGTGTAGGAATGTTTGCAGGCGAGATGTACATACACATAAAAGGATTGTGTTGAAAACACAGTAAAAAGCAGTAAGTATTTAGCCACAGCTGAGTTCTCTCTAATTTGCACTGAAACAGAAAAAAAGGAACAGCATCTTGCCATACTGAAATACATTTGATTACAGGATTTCTAAGCTCATAAGCAGCCACATTGCACAACAGATGCCACACTGAATGGTAGCTGCTGCCCTACCTTGACATCCCAAGTAGCTGTCTCTAATGAGGGAAGTCTTCCTCCACAGCAAACTTGGGGTGCTGTGCAAGATTCTGTCAACTAGTGGGTCAGCGTGGTTCTGGGGACCTGTTTCCTATGCAGACCCCCTAGAAGAGCTAAGATCGCAGTCCCTGAGGATCCAGTCTGCAACTGGATCTGATTGCCAGATTCAAAACATAGGAGGAGGAGATTACTTGTTCCACATTCCTCTCTCCTTCAAAGGCTGGCAAAAGTCAAAATTTCAGAAGCTTCCTTGGCCCAGTAGTGCAGGTCTAACTGCCAGTCACTGTGGAGAAAGGACGCGGGATTTTCAAGATCCTTGAGCAAAACTTTTGCCTGATTTAAATCCAAAAAGTGAAACATGAGCTTGAAATTTAACTGAATTTCCAGAATTTAAAAATTAGGTTTTTCTTCTTCCAGCACCATCATCCCCTCACTCTTTCTTTTCCTACAATAAGAATGGATCTAAGAATGATGAGATGTTTGGTGATATTTTTATGCCAATAATAAAATCGTGCCCCACTCCTTCAGAGTTTTCACTACTTACAGTTAGTTTCACCTTTCCTTTGGCTAGATCATGTGTGGTTTTCCTTATCCGACATTTTGTTCCAATATTCAATGGCACTGCATGCTCCATTTGTTTGCTTTCTCTTCTAAAGCAGTGTATAGTTCTCCTTAGAGAAGATTTTATAGACAAGCAAAGTGAGTAGCTCAGATGTACATGAAGTATTTGAAAGAATAATATAATTTAACCAAAGTACACTGCTCAGTGACCTAAATCACCTGCTTTCATAGATAGTTGACATTATTTACATTCAGGCTTTTTTTGTAGAGAGGCATTTGAATGACCCTTCAGAATGGATGTGCTCAGTAGGAACACTCTACCTGCTGTCTCTGCACCTCCTGCTTACGGTGTGTCTGGTTACCCTGGTTTTTCAGTCAGGTGTCTACAGCTCTGAAGGAAAAAGATGTCTTTTGTTTTTTATCAGTGAAATCACTGACTTTAAGACCATGCTCTGTACACATACAGAACTTGATTCCTCTCACTGATGAAACATATCTAGTGTACCCTAAATCTGTCAGCTTCCGTATGGGGAGCCAGCCCTTGACAAGGGTGAAGCCAACACTGAGTAATTTTAAGACATAAGCCTCCTTTTTTTTTTCATGATATCTGATGTGGCTGTAGACATAAAACATTTAGAGACTTAGACGGTATTTTTTCAGCAAAAAATATTTAAAAATGAAGCTGTAGTTCAGACAGCTGAGCTGACAACAGCTTACAGAAAGTGAACAAGTAAACAATTGCAGAAGTCTCCAGACAGTGCAAGACAAGATGAGCAAATATTTTCTTCCTCTGAAATCCAACTTGTTTTACTAATTTTTTTTTACTGTATCCCAATGATATTAAATTATACAGGGAAAAAGACACTAAGACTGTGAAAGGGTATCAGTATATATTTAAAATAGTAATATCATTGAAACATCATAACTTTCAAAATTATTATGATTTTAATCGTCTTCTTATTGAACTTTACAAATTTGATTTGCTTGAATATTGTTAGATTATTTTTCCTTGCCTTTATAGAGTTGTGAATATTATTCCATGTAATGGCATACTATGATACAAAATATATATGATCCAAAATATATATCATCTGAACTCCATTATTTACCAGTTCATTGCTTCTACAACTTTATTGTCTCCAAGCATTGACTATGGGGCTTCCCAAACTGTTAAATGTGAGGCACTCACCTAATAAAAATTATTCAATGAAGCAAACCAGAGCTAAGGTGATAAAAAAACCCAGAAATGAAAGGGTTTTGCAGGCACTGAGTGCCAAAGCTGTGACCCTCTTGGGGCACTTCCACCCCAGAATGCCAACTTCAAACCTGACAGATAAAGTACCAGCCTTAAACAGCAGTGGCAGAAAGTGCTGTCTCGCCATGGGCAACTTTGGGCTTTGGAGCGGATGGTGTTGAAACATCCATAAGGATATGATAAAGTCTACAACCAACTTTATACATCCAGATTTTGTGTAATGCATCATCTATGGTCTCTCCTACCTTCTTCATTAAGTTATATTACCTGTCCATAGCAGATATCACATGGCTTGTCTTTAGTACTCAAA